GGATTGTTCTAGGAGCGTCTGGAAGCCGCTCCTTAGAGGGGGGGTTATGTGATGATCTGCGGCTGGAGTGCCCGCTTGAGCCTCTGGGGGGCACTCCTTCCTAGCTTATTGTTTCTTTCATGTTTTACCCTGGACTGATTATGGTTTATTTCATGCACCTGTGTTTTATCATCTTGTTTAGTTCACCTGTCTTAAGCCCGAGTTTCCCCTTTGTTCGGGGCTCAGTATTGTGTGTGTATAGTGTCTGACTGCTTCTAGTGTTTTTCTAGTATCTCCTAGTTTCCTTGGTATTCCCTAGTTTCACGGTTCCTGGACTCTCTGCCTGTATCTGGTCTTCCCGTTTGCCTTATCCCTGAATTGTTTGATTGCTGATCTGGACTGCTTACCTGGTTTTGACCCCTGCCTGTTTCCTTGTACCTGTCTCGGGATTCTCCTCTTTAATAAAGCCTGCGTTTGGATCACCTCTGTTCATTTTCCATGTGCAGTTTCATGACACTATGCCTTTATTAATAAAACTTAAACAACTTAAAAAACACGAGGCTTAAGACATTTATAAAAATGCCATTTTTGTTTTGCTTTTCACTCCATTGTACCGAAATCGTACCGAACCGTCTGAATGTCTCAACCAAGGTATGAACCCGACCCAACCGTGACTTCTGTACCGTTCCACCCCTAATGCAGTTTCATTATTATTCATTACTATCCAGAGTGCGGCTTACTATAAATAATTTGTGCGACCAAATCATGTTTTGCGCCAGTCACTGAAAAAGTTAGTAGCGCAAGTGCCACCAGTGGAAAAGGTTAGTGTAGTTCCCTGGCCCAAGCCCTGAAAGGGCGAAGGCCCTATTGTTTTCCTTGGGATTATTTCGTTGCTCGCAATGAAACAGCTTGTACATACCTAGCTTGTGTGTATATATATATATATATATATGTATATATATATGTATATAATATATATATATATATATATATATATATATATATTTTTTTTTTTTAAGGGACAAGACAGGATATTACTTGCCTGATCTGATTAGAACAATAATGTCTGTGTGTGTGAGGCATGATTGAACAATGGAAACATAAAAAACATACTGTACTCTGTCCTTTTGTTCATACAGGAAATTATTCAAACTGGAATATATATATATTTGTGTACACTCTCATAATAACACAACATTGTGCTTGTGTCAAACTATAAACTATTGTCAAACTGTAACCTACAACTGTCAAGCAACCAAAATCTCTCTCTCTCTTTCTCTGACATTTTTTGGACATTCATCATGTCACATGGTTTTAATTTCTTGGCCTCAAACAAAGCCCTAATCTGTTCATTTTTCAGTTACACATTCTAAATTGATTAAACAAGAAAAATCAAGTGTGTTTTTATTTTATACAGATATAAATTATTTATAATTCAGCTGAGAATTAAGTTAAGGTTAGTTCAAATTTTAAGAAAAATAAATATATGATGTGAAATAGCACATTCATTTTAAATTAATTCAGGTTCAATTACCAAAAATACAATCTTAATTTAATTTAAAGCAAGTAATAAATCTAAAATATATGGGTTGTATGCATATTTTGTTAAAAAAGAAGATATATATCCAGAAAGACAAGGCCTTAAACTTTAACAAGCATGCAACTCTTATCAATGCAACAAACGTAGTCACACACACAAGACATGTCACTTACATTTTAGATGCAATATTGACCTATTTTCTTTTTCAGCAGAGAAGATAGTTAGACAAAGATCACAGCAAACCATTGCGAATCTCAAAGCAATGATTTTCTCATTACTATCATTCAATCATTCAACGTTCAGAATGATTCATCATTTTGAACGTTTTTGCCTGGCGACACCTTATGGTGATTTAGGGTTATGTTTAAAAGTATCGTTCTTTACAACGGTAGCATGAAAATAGAGACTAGTAGGTTAAAATGATTAAATGTTAAAACGGCTTGCCATACTCTATCTGTCGTTTTGACTAGTCACAATTACGTTACAGATATCTTAAATGATAATACAAACTATCGAAAATGTAATTACGACTAGTCAGAAAGACGTTGATATCTACAATGTTAATTCCGGATAGTCAAACTTAGCTTTTAAATGTTAAAAGGGCTTGCCATACAGAGACGTACAGTAGGCTCAGAGAGAGGCTCACCATATTCAAACTAAAATATCGGACTTTCTGTTGGTTGGAGCTAATAATTGTAAATTAGAAAGTTGTCTGGCTCGAGGAGAACAATATACATATTGATTTTTGTAACTGTAGATAAAACTAATACCCCACTTTTGACAAAAGGTGGCGCTACTGAGCCCTCACCACGCCTGTTTCTGAAACTTTGCACATGTCTACTGGCTAAGAAATGTAATGTCTCTGTCAAGTTTTATGCAATTTGAAGCATGCTAAGAGTCTTAAAAGCATCAAACAAGAATATTAAAGTTTTAAGCGTTGCCACGGTCACAGTATATAAGATATCAATAATCTTTTCACACGTCCGTGTGTTTACATAATACACATACATTTTGAAGCAAATCGGGTAAAAATAAGAGGGTTATTTCAAAGCATTTTAAAAGTGACACACTTCCTGCTGCCAGTTGGTGGCGCTATAACTTTGACTCACAATTTCCTCGCCACGGCCAAACCGTTCGAGATATCAAAAATCCCCTCGCAAACTTTCATCCTCAATGTCTTGACTTCATGCTGAGTTTCGTGCCGTGTGTTTGAATTCTCTAGGAGTATTTCAAATTCCATTGCATGCGTTTTCCAAACAACCCTAAAACGCCGACTTCCTGTTGGGATGGTGTAAAAAGTAAGAGTGTGAAGTATATATGAACCAATGAGATCTATATGTGTACCGAGTTTCATATTATTACATGCAAGCGTGTTTGATTTATGGACCAAGTTTTCGGAGCCCATTGCAGGGGCGCTGTCGAGCCCGCCTGCCACGCCTGGGTACCAGCTTCAGCCCTGTTCTCTTGGCCGCGGGTTCTGACATGTGCAAAGTTTCAAGAGTTTTGAGCATGTTAAGGGCCCCAAAAGTGCCCAAATAGAACATTTTTAAAAGAAATAAATCCTAAGGAAAATAATAGGGCCAATTCGCCCTTTCAGGGCTTGGGCCCTAATAATAAAAATAAACAGAGCAATTCCAAGAGGGTCCTCTCACCATCGGTGCTCGGGCCCTAAAAATACTTGGGATGTATTTTGTACAAGATTACTTGGGAAATTGTTTGTGAAAATCCCCTAAAGATTCTCATGTAACAGTGATTAATTCAGTTTCAGTAAACACTGCAAGATTACATAAGTGATTCTTATTCAGAATTTTGCTATAAGATTTAAACTAGAAACTGATACACTATTACATATGTTTTGGGCATGTAAAAGACTTAAAAACTTTTGTGAAAATATATGTACTATTAACAAAACTTCAATTTGTTCCAAGATGTATTTTATTAGGGGATGTATTAGTCTAGAAACTGCAACAGAGGGTATTACGTTTTATGAAGATGGCCTTGATAGGAGCAAAGAAATGTAAAGCTTCATTATGTTCCAGTTGAAAATTTTTTTTATCTAATAAAAAACTTTATTTGAGAGGTCAAATTTATCAATTATATGAAAAATTATATTGGAATACAATGCTGATGTGGTAATGTAATACTGAGATTAACTAAAATTAAAAAAGTTTATAAAAAAAGTACTATTATATGTATGTTAGATAATCCCCTTTTTCCAATTGTTACCCTTTTTAAAAATATTATTTCAATGGATTTATTTTATTTATTTATGTTTTGTTTTATTGTTTCTCTACAGCAGATATACTCGCTCTTAAATAGGTTGAAGTGTGCTGTCAGATTGTTATCTTTAATACTGAATTACCTCTGTAAACTGTTTACATGAAAGACTAATAAAGATTTTGAAAAAATGTACGTAAACTCATACATGTGTATATATAGTGACCAATTGGATATAGATGCTGTGTGTTATGATCTACATGTAGCTATAAATGTATGTTTTTTTTTTCATTTCTTGTGCTAGTTACCATGTAACCATGTACATTGAGTGTTTGTTTTTTGTGTCTTTGAGTGTCTAGAAATGTACTATAAAAATAAATGTATTATTAGTATTATTACATGTTGTGTGACGTTCTACATAGGCAGAGTTGTCTACAATATTGAGTTCCTGCAGAAGAGAAAAAAAATAAATAAAACAAGGCGACAAATGTAAATGAAAAACTTTCTACAAAAATAGAACTCTAGAGTATTTAGATTATATGATCAAATTAATTGAATTAATTAATAACAGAACAATGCATTTATCCTTTGGAAGACGGGCTAAGTAGTTGAGACAGAGAATCAGATGGGTGAACTTAGTTGCGCTTTAAAGTTAAGTCGAATCTTTGTTCGTGTGGCCGGAAGCTAGATATTTGACATTAAAAAGTTTTAATTTAAAGGATATTTTTCACAAACAAACTTCTCGTTTTGCTTCAGAAGGCTTTTATTAACCACGCCAGAGCCATGTGTAGCACTTTTATGATGGATAGATACACTTTTATGGACAGAAATGGCCATTCACAGCTTGGAGTAGCCAGGACATTAAAAACAAAAAACGAAAGAAGAACGTTATATACACCTGTGATGACTTGATGGTGAGTAAATCATTGGCTAATTAATTTTTGTGGGTGAACTATCCCACATTTTAAAGTGGTGTCAACATTTTTTATGCATCATTTAAAAATTTATATTCTGGGTTTTCTATGTCATGTGAACACACAATAAGTTTAGTAAGGGGTGGTGAGGCTATCCTATCGTTTTGAGTTTGAAAATAATACAATGAGTGCTGATTCAGTGTGAAGCTGCTTTGATACAATCTGTATTGTGAAAAGCGCTATATAAATAAATGTGACTTGACTTGACTTGATTCGACATCACTTTGGCTCGTTTCAGTGAATAACGTTCAGAACGTTGCTCGTGTCAGACAGCCTGGATTGTGCTAGGTCATGATACTCGCTAACTGCTATATTCTTTCTCCATTAGGTTGAAGTGATGATGACAAGACAAAATGATGACTAAACGGATTTATGCAGGATGTCTGTGTTTGTCCCTCGATGAAGAAACGGCGCCGTGATTACGTACAAGTTGGTGAATACGGAGAATGGGTATTATACGCAGGAATCTGTCGTAAAGTACGTCCTGGGCTCTGTACTCCGGCGTGAAAGTAGAGAATACGAGTGCTTGAGATGATCGCATAGGATATTTTCTCAACCGCAACCGAGTTTATGTTAGCCGTGAGCGGAACACTCGGAGAGTTCGGGGAAATCCAGTGGATTTCTGGCGGAGGCCATATTATGCCGCTTGAAAATGTACCCGAATAATCGGATGACAGCACTCCAATCCATCTAAGGAAAACTTTCGAGTTCAGTTTAAACGTTGAGCTTGCAATAAAAGGAGGTCGTGTGGCTAACAGGATCCCGAGGGCTGCTGTGAACCGAGGAGCTGTGGCTAGCATGGTGCTAATATCACCCATGCAGCCGAACTACATCGATTGACTGAAAGACTGCGTCGCTTCTCGGGTCTGCTAATGTTCATGAGGCGTGTTTGGGTCCTGCGTTCTCAAGATCCCCACTCCCTTATAGGGAGACCTGAATCCGATCTGCTTTACGGGCCATATATTTGCCTAGCTTGACTGTCATCTCATGTATGGATGGACGCGTGCATGCTTTGACAGAATCCTGCGTGCATCGTTGCAGCGGCACAGAGCATCCAAAGGAGGGGCTCTTACTTTAGCAAATATAAATTGGATCCGTCGAAGCGTTTAATTTGCGGAGACTCGCAGCTGCTCGTCTCCCTAAGAACACTACGTAAGACTTCAGCGTACCCTACGTCTTTTTGAAGTAATAATTTCGGGTGACATTGCAGTCTCTCCCCTCTCACTTGGAGAGATATAACGTAAGCTCTTCTCGCTTATTGCGTCCGTGAAGGGAAGGTGGAGCATTGCCCGTCGTACGTGCTGACGCAGTGGGATTTCTACGTGTGGTCTGCGTTTCGACCCGCCCTTCCCGCGGTGACGGTGATGGGTCGGAAGCGGTGTGTCGGTGCAGATTGTTCGAAGATGGCGGCCGGGTGCTGCGGGGTGAAGAAGCAGAAGTTGTCGGGATCCCCCGGTGCGGGGGGTCCCGGCGGGGCGGGGAGCGGGGTAGCCGGGACCGGACATTGTGGATCGGAATTGGGGATCGGGTCCTCTTCGACTGTCGTGGCCGGGAACGTGAATCGGGTGAACGGCCTGGGGGGTTCAGGGGGTAGTAGTAGTAGTAGCAGCAGCAGCAGCGGCAGCAGTGGCGGCGGCAACACCAATGTTCTATCCCCAACTCCAGGAGGATATAACTCAACGGGCCTCTCCCCGACTCTCAGTCCCGGACCTGGCTCGGGAGGCAGGAAAATGGTCGTTTCGGCGGAGATGTGTTGCTTTTGCTTCGACGTGCTTTATTGCCATCTATACGGATACCAGCCTCCTCGAACACCCAGGTTTACAAACGACCCCTAGTAAGTAACGTTAACGTTAGCAAGATGGCTATTTTGACCTGGTTTGCCTTAACAACAGATGGTGTTTCCTTTTTCTGTGCAGTAACAAACAAAGATTTGAGTTTTCATGCTACTCGGCGCAGTTTTGCTCGTGCCCAACTTGGTCGAAGGTTTTGTTTTCGTAATGTTAATTTTACTTTGTTTGATGTCTAAACCAAATGCAGCAAGGAATAGTTTACTCGCTAACCCAAGCCCTCCCGATTAGCGGTTATGTTCACAAACTCGAAGTTTCTGAGGTGTTTTAGAAAATTGTTAATGTATACACACCCGCTAATCTATAGTCGTATAGATTCATTTTATTGATAGTTAAACGTTAATTTCGACGTAATATACATTTGAAGCTTTAAAATATTTAAGATGTATGATTCAGAAGACTGGTGAAATTGTCTATCACTAATGTACCAGATAATTAGGCAACGTTGTTAGAGCTGAAGTATTTTTTTCTCTGAAAGAGATTAAGTTAAATGGGTGTTAGCCTGCTCTTCTTTATTCAAGCTTCTCTGCAAGCTAACATGCTAAGCAACGTTAGCCAGCTCACACGGTTCAAATTTCAGCGAATATTTAACATTTTCTGTTTATTTCTCCTCAGTTCCCTTTCTTTTTTAATTTGTTAGATGTTTAAGAAACAACTAATAATATTTTTTTTATTAAAATCAGCTGTTAGCCGACGTGAGCTAGTAAGCTAACAAAACCTAACGTTAGTTGTTTACGTTTCCTTCAGAGATTTGAATGCTCTCTTACGGTATTTTTCATAGTTAGTTATAAAGCAAAAGAAGTGGCTCCACAGGACACACAATAACATTTCACGTGTTAACTGTTAAATCACAAACAGTTTTATATTTTGGTATTTTGTCACTTGCCAAACACTGAATCTTTATTATTTAAGACCCTTTCAGGTAGACCGTTAAAGGAATGTGTATCTTATCCGGTTAGTCAGGGTTGGTCGAACTGGGAAATGAATGAATGTCTTCACTGCAGTGCCTCCCTCTGCTGTCGCTGATAGACACTGACCAGATTTGGATTGTGCACACACATATGCATGTATTTAACTTAAGCTAGATAACGTTAGTACCTTAAAGGAGAACTCAGAGCCGGCTTCAGACCGCTTTTAGCAGGGGGGCATTTATTTTCAATGGGTGGGCACTAGGTATGGGGATTTTTTTTCCCGATATTAGATATCCTATATTTAGGTGTTCAGGCACGAAGTGCTGAAAACCTATTGTATTTGCTAGAAAGAAAAAAAAATCCCCTAAAACGCATCGTGCAGCCCAAACCGTAAGGGCTGGAGCTGTGAAACTTTGTCAGATGGTAGGGCCTCGAATTGTGGAGAAGCTATCAGAGTATGACCCCGATTGGCCCATAGGTGGCGCTACAGCAACCAAAAGTACTAAATTGCTCATAACTCCTAGACCGTTTAACTTAGCTTCAATGTTTTTACACCACTGTAATCCCTGGCTCAAGACAGACAAGATGTATATCTCGGATTTCCATTTGGAGCAAAAATAAATTTGTTATTTTGGTTTTTGTCCAAAACCCACTTTTGCGAACTAGTCCCTGGTTTTTTGCCCGATCGGGACCAAACCAGTCTAGGTCTAGGCCTATATAAAAGCCCCCAAATCCCCCCCAAAAAGTGTATATCTCGGATTTGTATATCTCAAAGCTATCAGAGTACGAGGTGCATAGGTGCATAGGTGGATAGGTGGCGCTACAGCAAACAAAGTTCCTCCGCAAAGTTCCGTGAGGATCGGATTATAGGTGGCCAATGAGTGGTGTTGTACTGCCCACTGCTGTTTAAATTTTTTTTTTCACAATACTCAACTATAATTCATAGTATAACTTTATCAATTCAATCTTTTAACATTTACAACCACATATAGTAAAAAATGACTATTATCCTGCAGTTGAAAATGAGTGTGTGAACTAAACTGTAGTAAATCATATTTTAACATGTTAAACTATGATAAATCATATTGGAACATGGTTAATTATGTAATATCAAGCTGAAATGTAGTATATCATGATAAATCATGCCTGCTACATACAACTTAATGTCTTTTGATGCTTTTGTGCTTAAATGCCTTAAAGACCTGAACACCGATAAATGCTGCTTGCAGCTTTAATTATTATTGCTACTGCCTTTTCTGTTAGCTATTAACATGAAGTAATGCAACCCACACAATAAACACATAAAACATTACACATGTTGCAAGACGAGCGACTCTTAAGAAATTTGATCAAGGCTAAAATAGGCCTATACAAAAAAAAATAAATAAATAAAAAATTGCAAGACCGACTCTGACCACAGCTTTATAATAGCAAAGCTAACGAACATGCACATAGTCTCTCACTGACAGAATAGCCGTTTATATGCTATCTCAATGGCGGAAGTGAGAAAAAAAAAAAGCTAAGTTACTCATCTTTATTCTGCTATGTTCTAACATAAGCATTTATATTCGTAGCCTTAAAAAAGCATCATGTAGTTACCTTTATCAAATAAAACCTTTAACACCATTAACAAATAAAAAACACCCACAACATACACAGATATTATTCTACAATTTCCATTTACAAGAAAATATAGGCTTAAACACCTGTTTCTCCACGGCGGGAGTGAGTGACATTTCAGGACAATGGGCAGCGCAAAAACTAGGCCAACTAAACTATTAGTTTCATCACGTGACAACACATAGTGAACATTACAGTACATGCCAGTTAGATAAATACACTTACGACTCGGACTCGACTGTCTTTGGTCTCGGTCTCGACTACAACACTGCACGGTAGAAGCACCAAATACCAAAGCCGGGCTGTCGTTGTCTTGCTGTATGGGGTAATCGATGTGTAAGGAGAAACTGTGGTATTGAACCATTTTCTAATTTCCATTTTTGGAGAGTTTTCATCTGTTTGCTTTGTTTTGAATGCAGGAAGCTCGCGCGGTCGCGCCAACTGAAAATCATTTCATTCAAGTATTAACGTGCGTGATTGGGGGGGCGGCAGGGGGGTTTCCTCACAGCGTCACACTGGTTTTTATGTTGGCTTTATTGTATTTTCAGCTAATGAGCCGTTTGTAGACATATATTTGTACTATTTCTCACTGAAATGTGAATTAAATTAAACTGATAATATTTTGTAAATTATGTCAATTCAATTTGGGGGGCACAAAATACATTTGGGGGGGCATTGCCCCCTAATGCCCCCCCATAGCGCCGGCACTGGGAGAACTCCGGACAATTTTAACTTTGAGCTCATTTTTTTTGTACATTTGAAGTGCTGTCAGTAAAGACAAAAACGACAAAAATCGGTGTTGCCTACACCGTGTTTTAATTTACCCTCTTTTTAAAATTTGCACCGTTGACTTTAATGGGGCAAGTTCTTAAACCTGCTTTTAGCCTCTTAACATCCTTGATTTGTCATTACAAGTGCACAGCCGTGTGAGTGGTGTTATTAAGAGTGACCACTGTCAATCTGTTTAACCTGTTTAACCAAAATATGTAACATGAACTTTTGACTGTACTCTCTAAACATTGCACATCCTGTATCCTAATTGGGATATCCACAACAAAAATACACGTTGACCATAATCATCATAATTATAACAAGTAAAGGCTTGAAATATGTCACTTTGCATGTAATGAGTCTATAAAATATACTAGTTTTACCGCTTAAGTTGAATTACTGAAATAATCAAACTTTTGCACTATATATATTTTTTTCTGTAACAAAATGGATATATATATATATTAGGGGTGGAACACAGAAGTCACGGTTCGGTTCATACCTCGGTTCAGACATCACCGTTCGGTACGATTTCCGTACATTGGAGGGAAAAGCAAAACAAAAATACAGAAGGCATTGTATTTTTTTTAAATAAGTTTTATTAATAAAGGCATAGAACCAGTTTATTTGCAGTGCACTGACAATAGTTTTATATAATTAGTTTATTAATTAAATGAATAAAAAGACAAAAAGACCTTTCGATTTGTTTGGTAATTTACAAAGCCCGGCGGGAAGTCACCTATGGGGAAAAAAAAACAATCCGAGGCGACGGTTTTGCAATCCAACCCCTCAGTTTATAAACTACTCACGGATTCTTAAACTGTTCCCTCGGTTTAACAATTCGTGCCCATGGATTAATAAACCGTACCCACGAGTTCCTAATCCGTGCTGTCAGATTTGTAAACCGTGCCCTCAGTTTTTGCAATCTGTACCCACAAATTCATAAACCGCACCCACGCTTTCGTAATCCGTACCCACGCTTTCGCAATCCGTACCCACGCTTTCGCAATCCGTACTCACGCTTTCGCAATCCGTACTCACGGATTTGTGGCTCGTCCCCCAGTGTGTGCCGCATGATTGAACCAGGCCTCCTGTTTAGATGCAGGATGCATTGTTTTTAAAAGGACTTCACATTCAAAAAAATAAATATAGGCCTAACACAAACACAAAGTTATAGGCCTATAATAAAACATTCATAAATTGTTTTATGATTTATTCTAGATATTCTAAGATATTCCTGTTTTAAGTGAACTCATTTAAATTTATAAACGCAAATAATAGGCCTAATAATAATAATTAGGCTATTATTATTACATTTAGGCTACAGATAGGTTATAAGACGCTTTTATCAAAAAAAGAAACCAAGCAATTTGTCAAATGTCAGTCATAATACAGGTTAGACAATAATACAGGGCTGAGATTATCACAAATAAACACAAGATTTTGACGCAAGAGTTTGTGCACAAAAAAATAAATAACATTGACTTTTGCCTTTATTAAACATTTAAAATATTCGCAAATTAATATGAAAAAAAAATAATAGACTTTCTAAAAACTAGGCTATATTTTGCCCGCATTGCTAAATGAGAAGAGCATGTCTCTGGAACCATAGAGAGATGATTTATAGGTGATTTATAGGCTAATTATAATAAAAGAGTCTGAAAAATAACGATGGATTTTTATTG